AAGTTGGCAATTGCTTTGCTTAAACAAATAACAAAATAGTTTAATACCAGATGGCCCTGTACTGTATTGCCAAGTTGAAGCTGCTGTATGATCTTCATTGTGAAATATAATAGTATGTTTATTATCACTTTACTTCTTAAGTACTTAGCTTTCTAAACTTCTAAACTAAGTTTTTCTTACCGACCTGAATTGCAACTGAAATCAAATTTTCTACCTTCCAGCTAAGACTATCACAAAATTCAGAAAGGGGTCATTTGATGGCAGTTTGAGTCGTGCCAGAAACTATCCACTTTAACCCTGTAAATTGGATATAATGCAATTTAGTTTTTTACTGCCACTATTTTTCCTAAAGTGAATGTGAGGTTGTCGTAATGCAATCAAGTATAAGGTAACTAAATATTACCTACATAATATTTTTTTAACCTGTATGTTCTTCTTTTTTTAGTTCTTCATCCTTTTTTTGTCTTTTCTTGATCACTATGTACAACATTCTTGTGTCTGAAAAAGTGGAAAGGTATGTTATGAACAGTATATATTATACAGTATATTTTACAACCAGCGCCACCCTCCAGGAAATGAGGCGGCACTGTAGGTGTTACAGACCCAAGAGCTAGGGCACGACAGTCCAGAGGGTGTGGCCAGGTCACTTCACCTTGGATGGAGACAAGGCTTGACACAATACAGTGCTAGCTTGAAGCGAAACTGTCCACTGAAGTCCGCTGAACAGACTCTAGGAGCAAGTACCACTGCGGTGTCCTTCTCATCAGCTTCGGATTGGATTCCTGCAGCTGGGCTCCTGAGAAATGGGGGCCGCAGGGGATACTGGAAATCCAGCTGGAGTAACCTGAGGTGCAGACAGGTGGACCAAGAGTGGAGCAAAAACAGGGACTCAGAGTGTAGGACAGGGATGAGCCACCAAAGTCCAGAGCTGTGCTTAATCCTGTAGCCATCTCAGCAGAGAGGGATCCACTTCCAGACTGGGCAGGAAACTCCAGTTTGAGGCAATCAGACCGGAAGGCACCAGAAGCCAGCAGCTTCAAGCCACATTTCCTCGGGGGGGGGGGGTCTCCTCCACAGATTAGGCCAGATGTGGAGACATCTGTTGAGGTTGGATCCCTTCTCTCAGCTGTTGGCAGAACTCCCAGGCGGAGCCCTAGAGAACTGGAAACGAGGAACAAGAAGGCCTACGCTTGGACCCAACGTGGGGTAGAGTCCTTATTGCTGGATCGCAAACAAGAGACAGCAAAGGATTTAAATAGCCTCAGAGCACCTGCTACTGTGAGAGATTTCACCAAATCCGGGTGCTCTGTATAGCTTGCACCTCGGAGATCTGGAGGCGTGATGACCGGCCACTGCAGCTTCTATACACCCCATTATAACAGAGCGAGGTAGACGTTGTGCCTCCCTGCTGATCCAGGCAGGGCGAGTGTACCATGTGTATTGTATTTTTTTTATGTTTTACACGTACACTTTTGGTGGACTGAAAAGCTGGTGTTAGTTTTTTCTTGCTACCAGTATATAACTGAGTTATTTCTTTTTATTAGGACAGACTTCTTGTAGTTGCAGTTTTTGCTGTTTCTGATCTTCTTTAGTAAGAAAAAATACTGTTTTATATTACTTTCATATAATCCCAGAAAATCTTGCTTCATGATTCATTTTCATGGTGTTCACATATGGACTATGAAGTGCCCATTCCAATTTTATATTTGTAGCTATTGCCAGTGTTGACTACAACTGTCATATTTCTTTACCGTTGTACAGTATTTTAGCGGTAATGTATTTTCTTCCTGGAAAAAGATACCACCACATATATGTTTGCTTTTACATTTATTTCTGTTCTGTTTATTCTCACAGGTTGTTCAGCTTTGTGAGCCTCATAACCGAACCGTTTTGCATTGTCAGCATTCATTTGCACTGCTCTCTAGTTTTCTTTATTCAGACTGCTGTTGCTTGCATCTGGTTGTTACAAAATTGGATTAATCAGCCCTGAATTTGTTTTCATTCTTCTTTTGCCCAGTTTAAGTGATGTGAGGTAATGTTTTTTTTTTGTTGTTGTTGTTTTTGCAACTCTTCCATGTAATCTTACTTTTATAATGCATTCCACATACACAACATTTAGTGATACTAAAATTCTAGTTTGGAACCATTGGAACCTAAAAAATAAACCATATCATAATTCTTTCGGATATTATTCTTGCTTAGTTGAATATCCTTGTAATGCCTGTTTACTGGCTTCTGGTCAAATTCCGCGTAGACTTTAAAATCCTCATGCTCACCTATAAGGCTCTGCATGGCTTGGCACCTCAACACCTGTCTGAACTATTATCGCCCTACTCCCCTCCTCGCAACCTCCGCTCTTCAAATTCTGCCCTCCTTACTGTCCCCCAAGCCCGTCTACACTCTTTGGGTGACAGGGCCTTCTCCTGTTATGCCTCCAATCTCTGGAACTCTTTGCCCAAGGATATCAGAGAGTCACCTTCTCTAAACTCCTTCAAATCCAGACTCAAAACCTTCTTCTTCAGAAAAGCCTTTACTTAACTGGTTCCATTATTTACCCCTCTGCTCTTCTTAGTACCACCTTTCACGGACTCCTCTATTGTTATTATTGTATTGTTGTAATTGTAATTGTGTCTTATCTTGTGTATTCTTCTTATTTATTAATGTATTCTTCTTATTTATTGTTATTGTCATCCTGTAAAGCGCTCTGAGAAGCCACCTTTAAAGGCGCTATATAAAATAAAGTTTATTATTATTATTATTATTATTATACTGTAGATTAGTTTCAAAATTCCTTCACAAAGAAAGAATGCCTCCTAGGACACAGTACTTATCATTCTTTACATTGTATTTGTAGAAAAGATAAAGATTATGATCAATATATTTCATCATCTTAAACACAAACTTAACATCACTACTAACCATAAAAGTGTTGTGTAGTCTTGGTTTTAAAATTCAAATATTTTCCTAAGTCAAACACTGCAAAATGATATTAAATATTAGATGTTGCCAGTGGATCATATCAGCAGAAGTCAGCACAATTTGACTTGGGCCGCATAATGGGTTTTCTGGAATCACAAGGAACTGTTAAAATCTGCACAGAATACCAGCCATAGACTTGTTATGTGACAGTCACAATGTTCAGCTTTGATTACCATCTATAGTCAAGTTAGGAAATTCCAGTGAATGTATTTGAAATATTCTTCTGCATAAATGTTTCTTTGTTCTTCCCTGTGTGCTTTTAACAGCATGAAACCTTTTAGGATGCTTTTGCTTGTACAAGATTTACATAAACTTCCCTGATCATCAAGGAACTCCATGTAATTGTTATTTCTTTGACACTTATCTATCTGAGTACACTTGAAATCATAGGAAACATTGCCTCTCTTTGAAGGTCTCTGGTTGTTAAAATTCTTGACATCCTGGAGGGATGAAAATATATTCTTATGGTCTAAGACATTACACATTTCTTAAGTCAAGCATGCATCATATGTGATAAAACCAAATAACTGGCTACTTGTGATACATCTGTAATACTTCAGATTTTAAACCTTTCTCCCTTAGCAGCCTGTGGAAGATGTTTAGTGTTTCATATACTTAAGAAAAGTAATAGATAAACATTTAAACTTTGCATAAGAAATAGAGTACCAAACGCATTTTTGAGAAGGCTAATCAGTGTGTATTTTTATCAGGAAAATAAAAGGGTGTAGGTGAGTCAAAACATTTTCAAGAGGGTTTATAGAATGTTAGTAGAAAGCATCTTTACTTTTGGTCTCACAGTTTGGTACAGTAGCCTGAGTACTAAGACTAAAGGGAAATTAGCCAGAATTCTTAATCGTGTTAGTAAAATAATTGGTCAACCACAGAAACAGCTGAAAGAGTTGTATTAGATGATTGTTTTGCAGTTCTAATGAAAGCTCAGTTTATCCTTGACAACCCCTCCAAACCTACAGTATTCATTCCCATTTCCAGCTGCCATCTGTAAGGAGGTGTTTTAAACCACTTATTGCCAAGAAATCTGTATACAAGAATTATTTGGTTCCCTGTGCAATAGGTATGTTAAAGACAGCTAAGTGACTATTTCCAGAATGGAGCTATTAGATTATGTTTAATTGTAGTGTAATATGGGCAAAGAAAAATGTGTATATTTGTATTCTTGCATGTCTGGAAGTATTGTTTGTTTTAACAAGTTTATTTTATGATGTGTTATTTGTTTTTGTAGTTTTTTATGGTGACACTAAAGACAGAAGTTGACCCTTTTAAATGAACAATAAAGTTATATCTTATTTTAAGTTACAGTGGAATTACACACTTAAAGAAAAGGGTTATCGAAATATTGCTAAAGAACATATGGTAACTGTTAAATAATAATGTAAAGTACATGATTAAGATGGCAATATTGGTGTTGGCAATTTAGAAATGTTGGTGAGAAAATCTAAAATAAACTTGAGGTTCTCTGTTTTTTAGGTTTAAAAGAATGAGTTCATTGATTTTCTCATCTGAACATTTCCTTACATCCCAAAAAGATTCCACATTACCAAAAAAAAAAAAAATTAGAATTTCAATTATATTTTACACACTTTATTACATTTGTTAGGTCGCTTTTTGTTTTGTATCTGATTGTCTTTGCTGAGCTTGCAAACATATTATCCAAATGATTAAAATACAGTTTAAACTGTAGCATTAATATTATTATTTTTAAAAATCTGATCTACTGCTCTTACTGTATGTCGTACATTTTATTAACTAAACATGACAAACTTCCCAAAGCCTGTCGGTTTGCTCATCCTCTTATCAGTACTGTATCTTCACAAGTTCCAGTTCCATACTTGTTGGTTAGATGTACTCTCTATCCATTTGAGTAGAAATTACAGTGCAATAAAGCAGAAGACTGTTTGTCCCAAAAGTATTCTAACAAAAAAACACATTACTAGATTGCTAATGCAATATTGATGTACATCCTTCTAACTTTTCCTCCAATTCTTTGTTTGTGTTTTATTCAGGTGGCTATTATTGCTGGGAATTTCGATCTGGCTGAAATTATTAAAAATCACAAAGAAACTGATGTTGGTAAGTGCAGTGTTATATCCAATATAATTCTCTGTTCTACCAGTAATAGATGCCTAGTGAGATAAGCTTTTGTTTCCTTACTAGCAAAGATTTTAAAAGTATTTCAGGGAACAAAGGAAGGACATACTTGCAGTGAGTCTAAATTGGGTCACATCACACTTTGAAATTGTACAACAGGAAAGAATGCATTTTTCCTTTAAGTGACTGGAAAAAACTATTTTAAATACCACTAAAACACCCAGTAATAATAACTGAACTAGTGAAGAACAATTATCTGAATCTATATGAATGATCAGCACATTTTCTGCTTATTCACTTTCTTGTATCTCAAATTATTTTTTAGGATGTTTTCATTCAAGAGGTTACACTTCCTAACCCCTCACTGGCTCCCCTCACCACCCAATGTTGCATGTATATATAGCTAGAGACTGCAACTCTCTGATATGGTCTTTCTTCCTGAGAAAGACCCATGACGTTTCTGGAGCAGATGGCTGCTGGTATACAGTACATGGTGGCTTGGGAAAATTAGCTATCAATTTAAAGATGATCTCTTCAATGTGAGTAAACTTTTCCAAGGAACCCAACTAGAGAAGAATTTAAAATCAACTCATCAAGCTTTTGGGAAGTACACTGGTATTTTTTAAGGAATTAAAGTTATGGTAGGTTATATGTCCAATCCTAGGCTGATGCTGAATTCACAAATGTAAAATAATACATTTGAATAATCACAATGGATCCAGTGAAATACTGTATATGACTTAAACTATATTTAGTACTGACTTAAATTGTCTTCCATGCCCCTTTTTGCCCCTTTATATTGTTCGAAATTATATTAATCTTTAAGTTTTTTTTTTACTCTGTGGACCTTCCTCATTGTAAGACTTTGTACTGTATTGTCAAGGTGTCTTTAATGAGCCAGGCTCTAGTTTCTGTACTTCCAGAAATACCAGACGTTTCAAAGACGTCTCATGATTCAAAAAACAATAATCCTAACTTGCTGTATAGAGGGGACAAGATGGCTGACGACTAAAGCCAAAGTTGCAGCATTCTTCTCATGCCATCCATCAATCCATTCTCTAATCACTTTATTCAAATTCAGGGTTGCAGGGGGCATGGGGCCTACCCTGGCAAGCAACGGGTGCAAGTCAGAATACACCTGCACACCTGTCCATCGCAGAGCACACATAGACAAAGATACACACACCAGGGCCATTTTTCCCAGAAGCAAACTAACCTATCAGTCTTTGGACTGTGGAAGCCCACAAAAATACGAGGCAAGCATACAAACTCCATGTTAATAGCACGCCAAGTCTGGAATTGAACCCGAGGGGGCCCAACAAGGCAGCAATACTAACCACTGAGCCACTGTGCCGCCACTCTTTCCATACCATTTCTTGCAAATGAATTCTGAAATTCCAGTACTGCACAAGCAATTTCAGTGTAAGGGAAATGCTTTATTTTTTTGAGAACATGAAAAACTATGTACAGTATGCAAGCAAATGCAAGAATGCAAGCTTACACTTTCTCTGCAAGTATGCAGCAGAATACAATAAGTATTCTATTACAAAGAAGTATTATTGTATGCTTGGCCCGTACCATCATAAACTTATTTAATGCCACAGCATAAGACATACTGTATAGGGAGTTATATACTGAATGTTACACATATAGTATACGTTCAACTAAGGTTTAACATGCTAATAGTATCAGTAATAATCTTGATGTACAATATGTATAATAAATCAAGTGAAACCCAATTAATTGCCAATGCTAATTTTTCATATAATGTCTATTTGAATCCAAGATGTAAGTTCTCACTCATTTTTCAGTCTCCCTAAAATGTGAACCACAGATAATCCTAGGTAATTATCATCTTATTTTTAACTCTGCTTGAAAGAATGTGTGTTTAAAAATATTTTACTTATGCAATGTAAATATCAAGATGTTAGTGAGCGACTCTTGATTGATTGGTTAATTGATTGCCTGATTACAACAGAGTTCTTTGCAAATGTTTACCTAATAAAACTTATTTCTGTTTCAGTCAAGCACACCAGATGTGTGAAGAGGGAATAGTTTTACAATAAAGCACATCAACTAGAATTTTTTGTCAGTGCAATTTCTAGACCCTTTGTCTTGGGATGAGAATTTAGAGAGAAAGATTTAGCTGAGCTCTATATATTTCATATTTGGTTTCAAAGGAAGCCAGTCCTCTTTAAACTATTTGTTTTACTCAGTCTAATTTTCTTTTGAGTTGATTTTGAGTTGAAAAAAAAAAACCCTTCAGCCATTTTAATTTTGGTGTAAGTGATATAAGAAAGGATAATAGGTATTTTACTCTGAAAATGATTCAATCCCACCACCCCTGTTTACATCCTGAGACTAGTTTTCTGTCAAAACAGTCTCATAAACACAGCATGAATTATATTTAATTTCTCTGCTGTGTACAGGCTTTAAGTTTTCATTGAAGCTGAAATGTGTAGATGCTTACAGGAGAATATCAAAACCCTTATATTCATATTAAAATGGTTGTTATGTAACAAACAATGAACCACTTACAATATGTCTGAGCTCAGAAATACATAACTGTATATAAAATAGAATGATAAATCGCGTTGAAATTCAGAGGAGCAAAGTAAAAATAGGCAAGCCATTCTAAAATTTCTAGGAAAAAGCTCTTGTGATTAGTAGCACATTAACCAGATAGAATGAGTAAAATTACTAAAAACATAGATTGACATTTTACATAAACCGAATGCAGAATTAAGCTTTCCTGTGGAGTTTGTTCCTTAAACAGCTCTCATTTTCATCCTAAGATCAGAATTCATGAAAAATTAAATGGATGAAAGAAGATATTGCACAGTAGTAGTCATAGACAGGTTGCTTTATCTTTCTGGATTTACCTAATAATAGAGTTTTGAAATACCCAGGCTTCCTTGAATGCTCTAAATATCAAATATTACTGGTACTAAATACCATCCATGACTCATAAATACACTCACAAGAGCAGTTGAACTTGAGTATAATTTCATGTTGTAGAAAAAGAAGAGACAGATACTCTGTCGAGTCACTTATTTACCAATTACAGTACAGTAGTGGCACACAATACCCACAGTACCTAGGCTCAGTCTGCTTTTAGAGTAATGTATTTACTCATTACATATTATGTCTGCTTTTCTTAATTATTAAATTTTGAATTAAAAGTGATTTTTCTTATCAGGTGGCATGGTGGTGCAGTGCTTATCATTACTGAGACATACTGTACTGGTACAGTAGGTTAATTGGCTTCTGGGAAAAGTGGCCCTAGTGAGAGTATGTGTCTGTCTTCCCTGCGATACACTGGCGTCCTGCCCAGAGTGTATTCTGCCTTGTACCCATTGCTTGCAGAAAGAGGCTCTGGTTCCCCCATGACACTGTATTGGATAAAGCAGTTAGAAAATGGATGGATGTGTGTATAAAACAGAAATCTTAAAAATACAATCTGAACACTGAAAAATGCAATCTACATTTACAAATTATTTTCTGTTTTTTGCAATACAACAGTAAATAATTCAAGAATGAAACATCAACATGTGTTTACTTAAACTTCACTTCCGGGTTTGGTATATGGTTAAGTCACACTTTTCTTCTCATATGGTTTCCCTTTTTGAAGGATTTGGGGTATCTGTTATATTTCCACCAACTTTTTGCTCAAACTCCAAATATTGCATTTGGTGGAATCCCTGAAAACAAGAAGTACTTGAACTGATAATCAGATCAATATGTACAATACTGTATATCTTAAGACTTAGACCATTTCACTGTCTAACTCTTAAGACTTAGACCAACTAACTAACTCATATAGCTTAAGAGTTGCTTCCTTGTGAGTTATTCTGTTAATAAATTTCAGGATGGTGAAATCATGATTACATGTATATCATTTCTAATTCTGTGTAATAAGATAATGTAGACTAATTTAAGTAACACTGAGTAAAACTCTAACATGAACTCAAAGTTTTTGTTTTCATTGCAGTATTAGAGTAGTACTTTACAATTACAGTACATAAATATACTTTCTGATACAGATATTTACAAAGAAAGTGGAATACTACCAGCTATATAAATATATTATATTTAGATCCTCAAATTGTTATTAATTTCTTAAGTTATGCGATTCTGAACTAATATTCTCTATTAAGCAGATTCTAAAAAGCATATTTTTTACTGCAATAATGACAGATAGTATTCATAGAAACAGATAAAACATTATAGCTTTCTTAAAATATATAAACTAAATATAGTCAGAACAAGCACATCAAAATGTTTCCAAAATAACCACAGTATGTGACAGTAAAGACTTTGATGTTTAAAATGTTTATGAAGGACGTGGAATACTGTTGTGTATTTTTTAAATTTCAGCTACCACTGCCAGCCATATACTGTATGTGTAATATATTTATATTCCTAAATGAATATAGTTTATGATGTTCAGCTCCTGTTAATGACGTTATGCTCCTGTTATTATTTTGCTGAGCTACCAAAATTTCCCTTTAGTTGTAAAATTCCATATTAATATTCCATATTAAGTGGATTTAAACATTTACAATTGAGAGATTAAATGAAACAATTGTTTCATTAACTTCTAATACACCTCAAGTGCCGTCTATCGAACATCTTTGACCAGTGAGTTACATACCGCAACGCTACGCAACACGTGACTTTTGCCTTTTTAGGAAGAAATACTGTGAATTCTGTGTGGCTACATCGGTATGTGACAAATCTTTGATGCTTAATATGTACAATATTCTCTATGTACCCTGTAATAGTCTTTAATTAAGGTTATTGATTTGTTCCAAAGAATAATTTTAACTTAATCAATGTTTAAAATTAGAACTCCTTACAGACTGAAATAATGTAATGAATTATTGGCTAATAAATGGGTCATGCTAACAAAAGCATTAGTGTATCTCAGAGCCATGTTTTTTCTTGTTATTAGGAAACAGTTTTCAATGTTACAGAACCAA